AAAAATTTCGAAACACTAACCTAAATTCTCACAATTCTGTCTTTATTTAGTATTTTTTTAATGGAATGAAACAAGAAAAAACACAAATTTAAAGCTTATAACACTCTTTGAAGTATTTCTCAACTTCATCTAATAAATATAATCAACGTTTAGGATATAAACATACAGTAACAAGCATGTGAAAGAAATAGTAAATTATAACCGTAGTATTAATTATTGAGCAAGTTCGCTGAGCCCGCTGAGATAGGAAAAACTTTAAAAAGAGCTTCTCGATGACATCAGAGTGGGTTTTCATTAAATTATGGTTCATGTTTATAACTCTAGTGGATCAATAAAAATATGCTTTCAGTTGTCGTTCTTAAGTTCCTTGTTTGCTTTATTTTCATTTATATTTTGAGTTTGAGAATCTTGGAACTTCGAAAGGAAAATAATTTTTTTTTTAATGTTTTTTACTTTTCATTTTGAAGTTGAAACTTTATTACACAGTTTTTTCATCTTTATAATGTAGGAATATGTATTCAGCAAGCTTGTAAATATTTTATTATGTATGCGTAATAAAATATTTAATATTAATTATACTAATAATTTATAATATTAATTTTATCTGTATTCATTATATGTAATAAACTGACTTAAACGGAAAATATTCTCGAGTCAGAACAGTTTCTATTTAATTTTCCGATGATACACAATATTTACTCTCGCTATTTCATTCAAAAATTGTGGTGTGATACCATTTTACGTTTTAGCGGGAGTACTGCAAATAGATTATTCAATTGGATATCATTTGTAGCAGGATTGATTTAATTTGTATAGATTAATTTAATTTGGTTAGTGCTATTTATTTCTGTTGAGGTCCCGCAGTAAAGACTCGATTAACAGTAGAGCACCGAAGTCAAGCTGCGGTCAGTAAGCGGGTGGGTGACCACTTTGATCAGCCTACGTAGGGACCGATTGTGTGCGGTATCGTTCTTCGTTAAACTGTTCTACCTTAAAGTGCTCGACTTCGAGTGCAGGTCGTCGGGCTACCAAAGCGGAGAAACCACCCCTTCTGCAGAGGATCAAAAATTGTGATGGCATGTCTTTGGATCATCCTCGGGGATGTTTCCCAAACTGTCGCCAATGGTCCATTGTGCAGCTCTAGTGCGATGTAAATAAAATACCTACCTACTTACCTATTTCTGTTGAACAACCTGTCTCCTTAACGTAGCCACTGCACCACAAGTTCGATTCCAGTCATTATTGCTATGAAGTTAGAAACCTAAAATTTGGAACATGTGTTTTTTGTAAGATAAATAGAAAAAGTTTCATTTCGATATTTTGTAATTATCGAGATAATTACAGGGGTAATTAGACTAATTAGGTACTTGCATTTCAAGAAGATCATAATACCCACACATTTGACCTATGACGTAGGAGTCAGCTGATTGTTTACAAGCAAAATTGCGTGTTAAATTGATTAAGTTTCTCCGCATAAGTTAAAATGTTAATTAAAATGAAATTAATTAAATACAGCTCTTTATCACGCAGCGAATTTATTGAAATGAATTTCTTCCTCGTCTACGTCTTTTACTAAACTTAGAGTTATTACCTGTTTATGTATTTAACTGTAATCTTGACATATTTTCTTGCGTATCTGGCAACTTCGATGCATAATTAGTTTGTGTTCCACATGGCTTCAAGTCTGCCTTTGTGTTAAGAAATATAAATAAGTGAAATCTTTGTGAAAGAATATAGATTGTGTCACTTAAGAGAATCGGTACTTGACGGGCTTGACTTACTCGAAATAGAATGGAAAGAGCAGTTGCTAACGTAAGCAAATGCCATGTTACAACAACCAACCAGGTTGAGATACCCACACTACGCCACTTGCCGGTATCCCATTGACATTAAGGCTAAATAACATTCGAAATAAATGTGCAAATAACACGATTCCAAAGCGCATTTACATTTTTGTATTCGTTTTTGTTAAGGTTTCTGAAGATAAGCTCTAAATGTGAATAAAGAATTAATTGTTTTGAAAAAGTTTTTCATTTAAATCAATGACCAAAAATTTGACTAATAATGACCAATTTGCAAAGTAATGAAATACTTTTTTTTGAGATCGGATCATTTGTTGAATGATTTGAACACATCTTATCTACTTTCTCCTTAAACTAGCTCTCTTAAGAAAGAAAAACTATTTTTATTGTTCCATTAATGCTGAGTGTTTATTTTAATTATTTTTTAAAAATAAAATTTTAAAAAAAAACAACGAGTTGAATATTTTTAAGACAAAATGTATGTAGAAATGAAAAACCGGCTTTATATAGGTGTGGCACTAGTTTAAAGGCCACTAAATTGATTTGGTTATTTACTTTGACATACACAAACCCGATTATTTCAGAAATGTATTGTTTAAACTGTGAACAATAAATTTCAGACGGAAACAAGATAAAAAGGAAGTTAAATTACAAATCTTAGACAGAATCCCTGACAAATCTCTGCTCATAAAGCAGTAGACGACGTCAAAAATTAACTATCTGAAACATACCTACGATATATGTGCATTCAAGTATAAGGTATATTTCGCTATATCGTCTTCTTGAAATTGAGCAACATCATAACCATGCCATAGTATTCAACCGACGTTTAAAGTACATCAATAAATAAGGATTATAAATGCCTTGTCAAAATTTACAGCTCGTGTTTTCTGAAAATATGCAGACAATTTGTTCATAAATTAGAAAATTTGATCAGTTGTTTAGAATTCCTTGGTATTTTCTTAGTTATTTTTTTAAAACAAATAACCAATCTGAAGCTTTTTCTGAAATTTCAACAAAAAGAATTAAAAATACGATTTCAACATTTGAGCGAAAAAATGTTCTAAAAATTATTCAAGTGTTCTGTAAACTTTCAATTCTGAATAGAATTGTATAAAAGAACTATTTTATTAGTTAAGCTGAGTGTGATAGATAAATTAAAACTTTAATTGAATTAAATTAGTGATTTAATCAATCAGTTCGAACAAAATATGGTAAGTTTCCTATTATAGCGTTCCAGGTTCGACGATGGCTTTGGGCGTTTCGATACTACTCTCGACTCGCAGTAACCACAATGACAATGTAAAATAGTCCTAATGGATCATGGTTATAATCTTAGCCAAAATGTCAATCAGTCGTAGTTAGGTCGATCATGGTTAGAATTTTAGCCGAAATGTCCATCAATCGTAGTTAGGTGGATCATGGTTAGAATCTTAGCCGAAATGTCCACCAATCTTAGTTAGATGGATCAAGGGTAGACTCTTAGCCAAAATGCCAATCAGTCGTAGTTAGGTGGATCATGGTTAGAATCTTAGCCAAAATGTCAATCAGTCATAGTTGTGTGGATCATAGTTAGAAACTTAGCTAAAATGTCAATCAATCGTAGTTAGGTGGATCATGGTTAGAATCTTAGCTAAAATGTCAATCAGTCGTAGTTAGTTGGATCATACTTAGAATCTTAGCCGAAATGCCAATCATTCGTAGTTAGATGGATCATGGTTAGAATCTTAGCCAAAATGTCAACCAGTCCTAGCTAAGATGTATCATGGTTAAAATCTTAGTAAAAATGTCTCTTATTTCGAACGGAAGAGGGTAAGTTTCTCATTATAGTGTTCCAGGTTTGAATTCCAACGATGGCCTGGGCAATTCTCATACTACTCTTACTCGCAGAATCCACAATGATAATGCATAATATTCTTTGTGGTACAGATGGATTATGGGTTAGAATCTTCTTGCAGCAGGGTTAACCGCGGAAAGTTTTCATGTTTTTTCTCTTCATGTAACACACATACGGGAGTTGAACAGTGACAGCCACAGGTCCACTGAGGATTGACTCTTCAATACAGGTAATAAAATTAAAAAGGACTAACGTTATACTGCAACACTGTCGTAGCCAGGGCTTTATTTCGCAGGGGGTTCAAATTTATTTGTATTTTTGTGTATATATTTTTCTCGAACAAAAAATTATAAATTCGTAATTAACGTAGCTTGCATTCATCATCATTTTGCAACAAAATGAACTAGAATAAATTTTATCTATTGTGTTCGAAACATTTATACATACTTCCTCTGCCACACTTTTTTTGTCTGATTATTGAAAGTGAAATATCGTCTATTAAATGCTTATAAGAAACAACTAGATGTTTTTATTTTGAAATCAACTTTCAAAGAGTTCATTATTTCCAGAAAAAAACGGCTTATAAACTGAGAAATAAAGTATCCGAAAGCTTTTTTGGTTTTGAATTTTTCCCTACGTTTTGTCAGTTCACTATTCACCTTTGTTATTTTGTGAATATAATTTTTTCTTACTTTAGTTTGATGCAGAATAAATATATTCTGCGCATATGTGATTTACACTTTCAAACCTATTTGAACTTGAGAAACACTTTCTGTGTTGGCTGAATATTTTTCCGTCGATGTACAAATTAATAAGTAATAATAAGTAAGTGAGGCTTTTTATGTATACAGATTTATCATGCGTTTCTTTTTGCTGTCTGCAACCAATCTTATTTAAATGATTCCTCAAAATGCTTCATAAGTTTTTAAAAGGATTTAGTTTGGTAAATTACCATAAAAGTCAATTAGCATTATTTTGATCTTCCACTATGATTCTTTTGACCATTTTTGAATTTCAAAAAGGAAATGCGTCAAATGTCTACTTATGTGGATCAACCATAGTTGGTTGAATTCACCATGCCTTAAACTAGATTAACTTTTAGAGCCATTTGGCGAATCGAATTATTTATTTCAAACGGTGTTTTACATTTATTCAATATGAAAAAAAACTGAAATAAAATTCCAATCTATTCTCACAGTATTGCAGTTTTTCATAAGTGTATTTATGAAATTTAGAGCAATTTTTTGGCTTGTTTTTGATCTTGAATTCGAGATTTTTAAAGTACATACAATTTCTGCCTTAAAGATCAAGAGACGAATCACCATTAAACCTAGTAACTGATATTTTATTTTTCTTTGCAGGTAATAAGATCAAACGGTGTTTCACGTGTAGATCTCGAGGTGATCTCGGCGACTGCAAAGATCCCTTCATACACAATGCATCAAGTGTGGATAACATAAGAGGAATAGAAGTGCCACCATGTGCATCTGGATGGTGTGCAAAAATAGTCGAAGGAAGTGGAAGTGGTAATAATTTCACACATTTTCTGAAATAATACTATCTACATTTAACTCTTAATTGAAATCACTTAGCGCACGATCGAAGACAATCGGTTCAAATTTGAACCATAATATTGCAGCTTTATATCGTACAAATTACCTGAAACCTTAGTAAGGTGTTAAATTGGATAACATTTTCAACTAAGTTGAAACGTTTTAATGTAATCAAACGGTGTAAAATTTCCAAAATAATGTAGTTCAACTTAGGTTGTGCGCGACATTATGGTTCAAATTTCAAGCAGTATATAGTTAACTTTTTCTGGTGTCAATTGAAGTCAAACTACGTTAGAGAATTTTTTTGTTAATTAGAATAATTTTATTTAATAGAATAATTAAATTAAATAGAATTTCTTTGTTAATTAAAAATATTGTCCTTTTCATTGCATATTTAGGTTTAACGCTTACACAGATTATGTCCAAGAGGAAAGATTCTTTTATTTATATTGTCAACAATATTATTATCATAACTGTAATCTTCCAAATGGCTAAAAAATCAAATATATTTTAAAAATTAATATTATACAAGTCTCTACTAAGCTCTCTGCACAACGCTCTTACCTTATATTTTAGATATATATCTAGATTCNTGACAACCATGATAGTAACGCATATTAATATATAAGCTTAATTTTTGTAAGAATAGTGGTGATCAAAATCATTTAAAAATTAAATTTATAAAAGAAAAAATGGTATATATTTACTACCACTTTAAATATGAAAATAAAATCTCCCGCAAAATGCGGGAGAGTTGGCAGGTATGCTAACGTAAGCAAATGCCTTGTTTCAACAACCAACCAGGTTGAGATACACACACTACGTCACTTGCTGGTATTATATTGACATTAAGGCTAAATAACATTAAATGTGCAAATAACGCTATTCCAAAGCGTATTTACTTTTTTGTATTCGTTTTTTTGGTAAGGTTTCTGAAGATAAACATTAAATGTGAATAAAGAATTAATTGTTTTGAAAAAGTTTTTCACTTCAATCAATGACCAAGAATTTTACCTAATTAATGACCGATTTGCAAAGTAATGTTCAAATACTATTTTTTTAAAGAGCGGATCATTTGTTGAATAATTTAAACACAATTTATCTATTTTCTCCTTAAACTAGCTCTCCGAAGAAAGAAAAACTATTTTTATTGTTCCATTAATTCCGAGTGTTTATTTTAATTCTCTAAAAAATAAAAATTAAAAAAAACAAAACAAAAAAACGAGTTTAATATTTCTAATGCAAAATTTATCTAGAAATGAAAAACCGGCTTTATGTAGGTGTGGCACTAGTTAAAGGTCACTAAAAAGATTTAGTTACTTACTTTGACATATACTAACCCGATTATTCAAGAAATGTATTGTTTAAACTGTGAACAATAAATTCCAGACTGAAGCAAGATAAAAAGAAAGTTAAATTGCAAATCTTTGACAATCTCTGACAAATCTCTGATCATAAACTAGTAGACGACGTCAAAAATTAACTATCTGAAACATACCTGTGAGTATGTGCATTCAAGTATAAGGTATATTTCACTATATCGCTCTCTTGAAATTGAGCAACATCGTAACCATGCCATAGCATTCAAAAGACATTTAAAATACATCAATAAATAAGGATTATAATTGCCTTGTCAAAATTTTACATCTCGTGTTTTCTGAAAATATGCAGACAATTTACTCATAAATATGGTTTCAGTTGTCGTTCTTAAGTTCCTTGTTTGCTTTATTTTCATTTATATTTTGAGTTTAAGAATCTTGCAACTTCGAAAGGAAAATAATTTTTTTTAATGTTTTTTACTTTTCCATTTTTAAGTTAAAACTTTGTCACACAGTTTTCATCTTCATAATGTACAAATGTGATTTTTCAGAGTGGGTTGTCATTAAATTATGGTTCATGTTTATAACTCTAGTGGATCAATCAAAATATGGTTTCAGTTGTCGTTCTTAAGTTCCTTGTTTGCTTTATTTTCATTTATATTTTGAGTTTGAGAATCTTGGAACTTCGAAAGGAAAATAATTTTTTTTTTAATGTTTTTTACTTTTCATTTTGAAGTTGAAACTTTATTACACAGTTTTTTCATCTTTATAATGTAGGAATATGTATTCAGCAAGCTTGTAAATATTTTATTATGTATGCGTAATAAAATATTTAATATTAATTATACTAATAATTTATAATATTAATTTTATCTGTATTCATTATATGTAATAAACTGACTTAAACGGAAAATATTCTCGAGTCAGAACAGTTTCTATTTAATTTTCCGATGATACACAATATTTACTCTCGCTATTTCATTCAAAAATTGTGGTGTGATACCATTTTACGTTTTAGCGGGAGTACTGCAAATAGATTATTCAATTGGATATCATTTGTAGCAGGATTGATTTAATTTGTATAGATTAATTTAATTTGGTTAGTGCTATTTATTTCTGTTGAGGTCCCGCAGTAAAGACTCGATTAACAGTAGAGCACCGAAGTCAAGCTGCGGTCAGTAAGCGGGTGGGTGACCACTTTGATCAGCCTACGTAGGGACCGATTGTGTGCGGTATCGTTCTTCGTTAAACTGTTCTACCTTAAAGTGCTCGACTTCGAGTGCAGGTCGTCGGGCTACCAAAGCGGAGAAACCACCCCTTCTGCAGAGGATCAAAAATTGTGATGGCATGTCTTTGGATCATCCTCGGGGATGTTTCCCAAACTGTCGCCAATGGTCCATTGTGCAGCTCTAGTGCGATGTAAATAAAATACCTACCTACTTACCTATTTCTGTTGAACAACCTGTCTCCTTAACGTAGCCACTGCACCACAAGTTCGATTCCAGTCATTATTGCTATGAAGTTAGAAACCTAAAATTTGGAACATGTGTTTTTTGTAAGATAAATAGAAAAAGTTTCATTTCGATATTTTGTAATTATCGAGATAATTACAGGGGTAATTAGACTAATTAGGTACTTGCATTTCAAGAAGATCATAATACCCACACATTTGACCTATGACGTAGGAGTCAGCTGATTGTTTACAAGCAAAATTGCGTGTTAAATTGATTAAGTTTCTCCGCATAAGTTAAAATGTTAATTAAAATGAAATTAATTAAATACAGCTCTTTATCACGCAGCGAATTTATTGAAATGAATTTCTTCCTCGTCTACGTCTTTTACTAAACTTAGAGTTATTACCTGTTTATGTATTTAACTGTAATCTTGACATATTTTCTTGCGTATCTGGCAACTTCGATGCATAATTAGTTTGTGTTCCACATGCTTCAAGTCTGCCTTTGTATTAAGAAATATAAATAATTGAAATCTTTGTGCAAGAATATAGATTGTGTCACTTAAGAGAATTGATACTTGACGGGCTTGACTTACTCGAACTAGAATGGAAAGAGCAGTTGCTAACGCAGACGTGCCAACTTTTAATCCCTTCCAATATCATTTTTCCCAGTGGTATTAAAATGGAATTAGAGCTTCAAATTTAAGCAAACAAATACGTTATATATGAGCAAACTTAAATTGACAACCATGATAGTAACGCATATTAATATATAAGCTTAATTTTTGTAAGAATAGTGGTGATCAAAATCATTTAAAAATTAAATTTATAAAAGAAAAAATGGTATATATTTACTACCACTTTAAATATGAAAATAAAATCTCCCGCAAAATGCGGGAGAGTTGGCAGGTATGCTAACGTAAGCAAATGCCTTGTTTCAACAACCAACCAGGTTGAGATACACACACTACGTCACTTGCTGGTATTATATTGACATTAAGGCTAAATAACATTAAATGTGCAAATAACGCTATTCCAAAGCGTATTTACTTTTTTGTATTCGTTTTTTTGGTAAGGTTTCTGAAGATAAACATTAAATGTGAATAAAGAATTAATTGTTTTGAAAAAGTTTTTCACTTCAATCAATGACCAAGAATTTTACCTAATTAATGACCGATTTGCAAAGTAATGTTCAAATACTATTTTTTTAAAGAGCGGATCATTTGTTGAATAATTTAAACACAATTTATCTATTTTCTCCTTAAACTAGCTCTCCGAAGAAAGAAAAACTATTTTTATTGTTCCATTAATTCCGAGTGTTTATTTTAATTCTCTAAAAAATAAAAATTAAAAAAAACAAAACAAAAAAACGAGTTTAATATTTCTAATGCAAAATTTATCTAGAAATGAAAAACCGGCTTTATGTAGGTGTGGCACTAGTTAAAGGTCACTAAAAAGATTTAGTTACTTACTTTGACATATACTAACCCGATTATTCAAGAAATGTATTGTTTAAACTGTGAACAATAAATTCCAGACTGAAGCAAGATAAAAAGAAAGTTAAATTGCAAATCTTTGACAATCTCTGACAAATCTCTGATCATAAACTAGTAGACGACGTCAAAAATTAACTATCTGAAACATACCTGTGAGTATGTGCATTCAAGTATAAGGTATATTTCACTATATCGCTCTCTTGAAATTGAGCAACATCGTAACCATGCCATAGCATTCAAAAGACATTTAAAATACATCAATAAATAAGGATTATAATTGCCTTGTCAAAATTTTACATCTCGTGTTTTCTGAAAATATGCAGACAATTTACTCATAAATTAGAAAATTTGATGAGTTGTTTCGAATCCCTTGGTATTTCTTAGTTATTTTTTAAAAACAAATAATCAATCTGAAGCTTTTTCTGAAATTTCAACAAAAAGAATAAAAAATACGATTTCAACATTTGGGCGGTTTCCGAAAAAATTTTCTAAGAATTATTAAAGTGTGCTGTGAACTTTCGATTCTGAATAGAAATATATGAAAGAACTATTTTATTAGTTAAGCTGAGTGTGACAGATAAATTATAATTTGTATTGTATTAAATTACTGATTTAATCAATCAATCAGTTGGAACAAAATATGGTAAGTTTCCCATTATAGTGTTCCAGGTTCGACGATGGCTTTGGACGATTCGCATACTACTCTCGACTCGCAGCAACTACAGTGTTAATGTAAAAGTCCTAATGGATCATGGTTAGAATCTTAACCAAAATATCAGTCACTGGTAGTTAGGTGGACCAAGGTTAGAATCTTATCCAAAATATCAATCAGTCGCAGTTAGATGGATCATGGTTAGAATCTTATCCAAAATATCAGATGGATCATGGTTAGAATCTTAGTCAAAATATCAATCAGTCGTAGTTAGGTGGACCAATGTTAGAATCTTAACCAAAATATCAATCAGTAGTAGTTAGATGGATCATGGTTAGAATCGTATCCAAAATGTCCATCAATCGTAGTTAGATGGCCCAAGGGTAGACTCTTAGCCAAAATGCCAATCAGTCGTAGTTAGATGGATCATGGTTAGAATCTTAGCCAAAATGTCAACCAGTCCTAGCTAGATGTATCATGGTTAAAATCTTAGTAAAAATGTCTCTCATTTCGAACGGAAGAGGGTAAGTTTCCCATTCTAGTGTTCCAGGTTTGAATTCCAACGATGGCCTAGGCCAGTGGTTCCCAACCTTTTGTGGACCATCTTGGGGTTGGCTGACACATAACGCCCCTTTCTCTTTTTGCTCAAAAAGCCATTCATTGTTGCTTGTGAACAACCTAACACTGAATATATGCAATGTTATTTGATTTTAATTTAAATTGTAATGCAAATAAGGAGGCACATTTATCCTGTCATTTTTATTAATTAAAAAAAATTGTGCATCTTTTTTTTTCAAAAAGAAATGATATTTAAAACGGAATAATCAAAACAAAAGTACATTTTTTTAATTCATATTTTAATGTAATCAAGAAAAAGTTAAAACGTTAACAACTAAAATTTGAGAAAAAAAATAAGGAGTGAGAAAGTACATTTTTACCACTTCAATTCCCTGTGCTTGGTGTATTTCAAGTTAAAGCTTGAATGTCAGGTTTTATGCTCCTCAGATTTAAACGCGGCTCTCCTTTGAAGCAAATGTCCAACATTTCTCTTTGCATTGTGAGCAGCTGGAGGACAGAACTAAATCCTGTCTCCACTAAATATGTTGACGGGAACGAGATAAGAAGCGGCTCAGTTTGTTTCCACAATTGTGGATAAGTGTCCATAAGCTTTACCCAAGATAACTTGTAACCGTATTTTTTAAAGACGACTTTAGCCTCACAGTCGTACTTCAAATCTAAAATCTCAGTCTACAAGGAGGAAGTGAGCTTATCCACAACTTCAAAAGAGAAAGGATCGAAAATCCAATCCGAAATTTCTAATTTCATTAAATCTTTAAATCTTGATTCCATAACTGATCAAGGTGATCAGTAAAAATTAAGATTTTATTTTTGAGAATCTCGATATCTGCCATTGAACATTTTTTAAGAGTTGGAAGTTGCATTAGCTTTTTGCGACCAATGTTTGACTTGTAGATGAATGAAGATATGATTCCCTTAGCCTTGATAATGTTCATTTTATTTCCTTGAAGTTTTACGTTGATTTCCTTCACTTTTTCAAGACTATGAGTGAGGTACGCAGTTTCCAACTTGCGTTGCTTCAATCTCTCACTTAAAACAGGATCAGTGGTGTCGAGAAACTCAGTAGCCGAATCCAGTAATTCGAAGAAACGGCTCAGTTTCCTTTTGAAAGCCATCTCGCAGCTGTATGTAGGAGCAAAAATTCGAAATCTTCATCATTTTCATGGCAAAGTTCTCGTAACAAACAGTTATTAGGAGAATTAGCTTTTATTTTATTGATGCCAGAAATAACCAATTTTTCGCAGCCAAACGTTGACGATGAATGACATAATGAATGGTGAGATAACTTCCGGTACTTCTTTTTTAAGGTGACCCAGAAACCCCGTATGACAACCAGACATGGTTGGAGCACCATCTGTTGCACAAGCACTTACATTTGTGAGGGGAATTACTTTTACCTCAAAATAATCTTTGACCAATTTAAAAATCGACGATCCTTTTGTATCTGTGTTCAAAGTTCTTGTAAACAACATTTCCTCGTAATCTCCTTACTCTCTTTTATGAATCTCACGTAAGCTAAAACAGCTTTGTTATCTATCACAGTTGATTCATCAATCTGCAACGCAAATTTACCTTCTTTCAGAAATTTGATGAGTTTTGATTCAACATCGGCGGCCATCTGATCAATACGCCTGGAAACAGTATTATTGCTCAGAGGAACAGAGTGACTTATCAGATTTCCGCCTGCGATACTAAAACGTATGACGAAAACGATCCTGCACTTGATTTTTTTTTAATTTTTAACTATCATAATTCTTTGTCTACACCAGAACCATAGGTTTTATATATATTTTCAATTTCAATCTCAAATAGCCTTTATTATTAATATTATTAGCAATTTTTATCTTTTGAGTACTCGTCGCCCCTGATCGCCCCCCTAAGGATTATCGCCCCCTTGAAAAGCTCTATCCCCCCCAGGCTGGGAACCACTGGCCTAGACAATTCTCATATTACTCTTACTCGCAGAATCCACAATGATATTGCATAATATTCTTTATGGTATAGATGGACTATGGGTTAGAATCTTCTTGCAGCAGGGTTAACCGTGGAAAGTTTTCATGGTTTTTCTCTTCATGTAACGCAAATGCGGGAGTTGAATAGTGATAACTACAGATCCACAGAGGATTGACTCCTCAATACAGATAATAAATTAAAAAAAGGACTAACTTTATGCTGCTGCAGGGCCGTAGGCAGGACTTTATTTTGGAGGGGGTTCAAATTCATTTCTGTTTTTGCATGTATTATATCATTCTCGAACAAAAAATTATAAATTCGTAATTGACATAGCTTGCATTCATTATTATTTTACAACAAGATACTCTAGAAATTTTTTTTATATATTTGGAAATTGTTATCTTCAAAACATTTATATATGCATCTTCTGCCAAACTTTTTTTCTGATTATTTAAAGTGAAATATCGTCTATTAAATGCTTATAAGAAACAATTAGATGTTTTCATTTTGAAATCAACGTTCAAAGAGTTTATTATTTCCAGAAAAAAAAATGGTTTATAAACAGTTAAAAAAAAGTATCCAAAAGCTCTTTTGGTCTTTAATTTTTTCCTACTTTTTGTCAGACATAGTTCCTAGCACTGTTTCTGTGAATGTAATTTTTTTTATTTTAGTTTGATGCAGAATAAATGTATTCTGAACCTATATGAATTACATTTCCAAACCTCAAGACCTTTAACGTTTCAAGACGTTTAAATTTTACGTTACGATTTTAATTTAAATTTTTGATTAAAAACATTACAAATGTTTCAGTAAAAATTTTTTAACTAAAATTATTCAAGCTAATGGGGAAGGGGAAATCTCTTTAGGGTATACTCTTATTTTTACTAGGAAAACTATTTTGGCCAATTATCTTCATTTTGGGGTTGTTCAAACCCCCATGTCCTATGCCCTGATTTTGGACCTGTACTGCTGTGTAAAAAAATTGGAAAAAAAAGAAAGAAGGACGGAAAAGAACTATAACGCATTGTCCTCAGAAAGAGCAACTCTTTAGTGATAATAAAAACTTTATAAACTGCGCTGATGTGCATAACTGAAAAAATATTACAAATGGAAAAATAGTAAAATTACTCGAGTAAGTGGTAAAAAGTTAAACGATCTCGTGGATCAGGTTTTGGTGGAGTGGGAAAATAGAAAAAGAAATTGTCATACTGCAAGTTCTACTCAAATTATTCTACTAAAGTAAGTCATAGTATAGTATAGTATTGTATGATGGAAGTTTGTTGGCATAACAAAAACCATGAACATGTAATGAAAAATGTTGGATGACTGTGACTATCAAATGATATTGGACCATGATGAATCGCTCTGAAACCTAGATAAACCATCAAAATCTTTTGACGGGACCATCAAGTTGTCTGAAACCAATCTTATTTAAATGTCTCCCCAAAATGTTTTATAAGATTTTAATAGGATTTAGTCTGGTAAATTACCATAAAAATCAATTAAGCATTATTTTGATCTTACACGATGATTCTTTTGACCATTTTTGAATTTCAGCAAGGAAATATCGTGTCAAATTTCTACATATGTGGATCAACTATACGTAGCAATGTATGCATAGTTGACTGAATTCATCATGCCTTAAACTTGCGTAACTTTAGGGCCAATTGGCGAGTAAAATTCTCGAATCATTTATTTCAAACGGCATTTTAAAGTTAGTATTAAAAATAAGTAAAATGAAATTCCAATCGATTCTCACAGCATTGTAGTTTTTCATAAGTGTATTTATGAAACTTAGAAGAAAAATTTTGGCTTGTTTTTGATCTTGAATTCGGAATTTTTAAAGTACATACAATTTCTGCTTTAAAGATCAAGAGACGAATCACCCTTAAACCTTGTAACTGATATTTTATTTTTCTTATTGCAGGTAATAAGATCAAACGGTGTTTCACGTGTAGATCTCGAGGTGATCTCGGCGACTGCAAAGATCCCTTCATACACAATGCATCAAGTGTGGATAACATAAGAGGAATAGAAGTGCCACCATGTGCATCTGGATGGTGTGCAAAAATAGTCGAAGGAAGTGGAAGTGGTAATAATTTCACACATTTTCTGAAATAATACTATCTACATTTAACTCTTAATTGAAATCACTTAGCGCACGATCGAAGACAATCGGTTCAAATTTGAACCATAATATTGCAGCTTTATATCGTACAAATTACCTGAAACCTTAGTAAGGTGTTAAATTGGATAACATTTTCAACTAAGTTGAAACGTTTTAATGTAATCAAACGGTGTAAAATTTCCAAAATAATGTAGTTCAACTTAGGTTGTGCGCGACATTATGGTTCAAATTTCAAGCAGTATATAGTTAACTTTTTCTGGTGTCAATTGAAGTCAAACTACGTTAGAGAATTTTTTTGTTAATTAGAATAATTTTATTTAATAGAATAATTAAATTAAATAGAATTTCTTTGTTAATTAAAAATATTGTCCTTTTCATTGCATATTTAGGTTTAACGCTTACACAGATTATGTCCAAGAGGAAAGATTCTTTTATTTATATTGTCAACAATATTATTATCATAACTGTAATCTTCCAAATGGCTAAAAAATCAAATATATTTTAAAAATTAATATTATACAAGTCTCTACTAAGCTCTCTGCACAACGCTCTTACCTTATATTTTAGATATATATCTAGATTCTAGATATATATTTTAGATATATTTTATTTTCTTTTACAAAAATGAACCAATAATCCAGTATATTGTAAAAAAACATATAAAAGGGAAATTTAAAATAGATTCTTAAGCCTCACACGTTTGATTTTAACTGATCAGAATTTGTTTTTTAAATATTATCTAAGTGAAGTAAGAGAGTCTAGCAAATTCTACGAGGTCTACGCTTAAGTTTGCACATGCGACAATACGTGAGGTTTGCAATCTTTGATGAAGTCACTTGGGTACCTGCAGGCGGCGTTACACGTGTGTGCCGAAACTGATTGACTGCTGAATCATCACATAAGCAAATGCCGTGATTCAGCAGGCAAACAGGTTCGGCTAACCTGAAGGATGTCGCCTGTAGGTACCCAATTAAACCTGATCTGGAAATTGTTTCTATGAGATAATAAACCAAGCCTAATAGCTGTAACGCTAACAACTCATCTTGTTTATACACAACAACCAGCTTCTCGATTTGCAGGTAGTCAATTGTTGCATGGACTTGAGAACTCGATATGCTGCTTGAACTGTAGAACACGCTGGCTTTAAAGTTTAGTTATATAGCTTAAATAAATACTTTTAAAGAATTTTTTTGGCGGCATTTTTTGTTAATTGTACGATGTATGTAAAAAAAAGTTAATGCACATGGAAAACGTTCATTATTTTTTTTTTAATTTTAAATAAATATCTGACCATTCGTTACACATTGTTATTAATAATAAAAAATTCGAAAAATAACTTGATAAATTAACATTATTTTTTTTGAATTTTATCTTTACCGTAAGGCCAACATGCACTTCGATAATTGGATAGTTGGTAAAATATGATATTTGTGGCTCGCGATCTCAATGAATTCAACTTGTTACAATTAAATTAACGAATCAACAAACTCGACACTTTTAAATTCTTGGAGGAACTTAGCCTTGCAAACGGATTGGCAATTAAATGAAATAAGGTTTAATGATAAAAGTTATGAAGCTAAGAAGCAACGTAAAAAAACTTTAAGGTAATGATTTGATTTCGATACTATTGAAAAAGATAATTATCGGTGATTAAAAACTACCATTAATCTTTGTTTTGGGAATGGATACCTTCAAATATTCTATAGCATCAAAAAGATGGCACTACCTAAGTTTTTAATTTAAATGCCCCTTTTCAGATTAAAATATCTTTCGATAATAGAAATCTTGCACTGAATAACTGCGGGTTATAATGTTGGATTAGTGAAAATAAATGTGTAGTTAATGTGATTTTTGTGTCAATTATTGGGTTATGTTTACCTACATTCTTCCTTTTTTCTTTCTTTCCTAACATTCAACATTAATTTCTCCCCACCCTTCTTTATTCAATTCCAATTTCATAGCAACATATAACGAATGAAATAAGATATTTTATTAATGGAAATTAAAATAGAATAAATTAGACTATATTGAAAATTGTTGCCCTCCATCAAAGATGACCTTTTAAAGAGTTTACCTTTTTAGGTTGATACGGGTTCCCAGATCCCTAAGTTTTATTTTTGTTCAGCTTAGCTTGCAACATCGTTTTATTCCACTACCTCTGATACATAATCTCATCTGGTTGTAGTACAGCCATTCAAGAGTTTCATACAGTGAAGCTATGATTTCAATCAGTCAATCAATTAAACTGTCATGGATGACTTTAACCTTCGCATGTCGAATTGTAAATATATTAGTGGCAATTACAATTTTGAACCTGATTAAGTAACCCCTTTCAATTTGATCAGCGGTTTTTTGCCTTTTCCGATACAGAACAGTAATTTCATTCAGGAAGAATCAAAACTAGTTTTTCCAACTTCAACACACATGAACACTTTCTATTAAAAAAAAGAAAAAGAAACTGTGACACAGAGTGAATTGTTCTTCTAGCATTTTTTTCAACTTGCTATTAATCTGCTCAGTGATTTGGGGCACGAACCTGCTCCCTTCTGTGTTGCGGTTAGGTTGATAATTGAACTTGCAAGCGTCTCTTAGGGCACTTTGGAGCTTTACGCGCTACTACCACTTGGATAATGAACCACGGCAGAGATAAAAAAAAAACTTTATTTCATTATTTACTAAGTAAAATCATTGGCAATTAATCAAATTTAGCTATATCATTTTTAATTAAGTGCAATCTCTAGTCAAAGGTGAAAAGTTTATCGTTTCCTCATTGCAATATTAGTTTGGAACTCAATGTGTCCGATTGAACGATTTTAAAGAAATTATTAATTTCTTACGATTTCAGTGGCACTCAATGTGTCAGAATGAACAATTCCTAGGAAGTTATAAATTTTCTACTACTTTGTGTCATTTAAAGAGCTTGATGATTGAACAATTCTTAGGAAGTTATTAATTTTTTCCAATATTTGTGGCACTCAATTTGTCAAATTGAACGATTCTTAGTAAGTTATTAATTTTCTCCAATATTTGTGACACTCAATTTTTTAGATTGAACAATTCTTAGGAAGTTATTAATTTTCTCCAATATTTGTGGCACTCAATTTGTCAAATTGAACGATTTTTAGGAAGTTATTAATTTTCTCCAATATTTGAGGCACTTAATTTCTTAAATTGAACAATTCTTAGAAAGTTATTAATTTTCTTCAATTTTTGTGGCACTCAATATGTCAAATTGAGCGATTCTTAGGAAGTTATTAATTTTCTTCAATTTCTGTGGCACTCAATATGTCAAATTGAGCGATTCTTAGGAAGTTATTAATTTCCTTCAATTTTTGTGGCACTCAATATGTCAAATTAAAAGATTCTTAGGAAGTTATTAATTTTCTACAATTTCAGATTATGCAGTTGCAACAGAACGAATGTGCCTGCAACGGCCACCGAGAGATGAACAACAGAGATGTGCTCCTACGCTTTTCTTGGGACGTCGTGTACTGATGTGCTTTTGCAGAGGAGATCTCTGCAATACATCCTTTATCAGTAAAGCACACTTATTCACAGAAATTTTTTCTGTTGTCTTCTCACTCCTGCTTTACAATAAATGGTTATGATAATTTAGATAGAATAATTTTAAAATTAATTAATTCCTTTGATGCTCTTTGGCTTAACTTTTCCGTCTAAAGCATATGGAGTCGAACTGTGTGCCTCTTAAAAATGTACCGCCTGCTAATTCGTAAACAATTCCAATTTGTATTTAAATATATTTTTAATTTTTAAAGCCGTTTGTGTGCTATGTATTTTAAAATAATTTGTATTTAAACAAAATTGAATAAAATTTTCAGTTTTTAAAGTTTTTTTTTTATTGGGAGTTAAATTTTTCTTGTACATTGCATTTGATTTATCAAAAAACTGGAAGTTTAGTAGTTTTAAAGAAAATTATTGCTTTAACTGTTTTTCTACCTTTCCTCCTTCCTGGCTTCCTTTATACCTTCTTTTCTTTCACCAAACTATGTGTATCTAAAGAGGAGTAAAAAGCCTATCAGTATGTAATTAGAGGTTTGCCATATTGATATTTTTTATTTTATTTCACCCGATTATAATTATGACCAATATAATAATCGGATAGTGTACAAAAAGGACCATTAGAAAAACTTGAGATGTTTGTGATTATGCGGGAGATTAGTCCAACTTTTTCTTTACTATATATAAATAATCATTTAAGTGATGAGTGGCCAGAATTCCGCATGGTATCAAGCAAAGTGGCTTGTTTCTGTCATCTATGATTTGGTCAATTCAATAGGAGCAATATCCCACGTGATATTTTTATCCTGCAATTATTATTATGACCACCTTAGAATCGGGAAAAAATTTACAAACGAAAAAAAGTCAGTAGCAAAACTTGAGATGTTTGTGTCTATGCGGGTGATTTTGCTAAACTTTTCTTTACCATATTTAAATATTCATTTAGTTGATGATTGGCCAGATGGAATGCATAGTTTCTCGCAAAATTATATGTTGTTTCTCTCATCAACCGTTTGCCAGATTCAAGGAGAAATCCGACGTGATATTTTCATCCTGTAATGGTAGTTTTACTTAGGGATGCCATCTGTCATTAACATACATGGAAAATAGTTGGAAAAAATTAGTCATGAAATAGCTGTTAAGGTTGTTTAGACCAAACGTACTAAATCAAGGTTTTTGACTGATACTTCTGTAAAATAGGAAATCGAGAGCAAGAACAACAAGTAAAAAAAAAAAAGGAAAATATTATAAAACATTGAGAAATAGATCAAGTTTCAAACAAGACAGCATAATAGAATTATCTTCAGGTAGTTCAGTTGAGTTTCATAAAATAAATTCATTTAACAATTTTAGTCTGTTCAGATTTCCTATTTTTCATCACTAAATAAATATGCAATAACCTTTTACAAATTTAATTATCGTGGCATGCATTTCAATTCTCGTTGATCATACTTTCCTCATAGTGGGTCAAATCACCCTCAAGTTAAAAGGTTTGACCATGTTTTTGTACTTTTAAAAAATCGTTTATAGAAAGAGCTAGTTTGTAATTTTTGCAAAAATATTAATATGAACAAATGACAAACATAATAAGACTATAATAGAATGTCCACTTGGAAATTTATTCTGTTTAAAAAGTAAAACAGTATTACTTATAAAAAACGAAGTATTTTTTCTCCATATTCCACAAAAGAGTGAAAATATGATTTATAAATTTCTATTGTTAATTTTGTTGAAGGTAATGTTTTTTTTCTTCTGGTGTAGGATCTATCAAGATATCAATAATGAAAACATTTTTCTTTAAAGGCTTCTTATACATTTAAAGATATTTGTTTAAATATGAAGTAATGCTTTATTCTGGACAGTAAATTAGCAATTTTCAGCTGAATGATAAAAAACGCTAATTTTTGCTGAACAGGGTGGTAAGCATCCTCACTTTTGGTGAATTCGATTGCAGAGCTTAATAGAAGAAGGCACTAAGTGATATTTTAAGTGTTTTAGTTGCACCAATTTCAGGTCAGAGAACAACAGCATGAAATTAAAGCTGTTTTTCGATGGTTTCGTCATAATATTAAATTATGCTTTTTTGCGAATAATATGCTATTTTTTATAACTGTTATGAGTTTGCAACTGTTACTCATGACTGTTTGATCAAGTTTAACCTATCTAAAGCCATGGCTGTCAACGCTTACTTTGAAAATGGCGCAAAGCTCCTATATGGAGAAAAGCCACAGTTCAGTGAAAATAAAAAACGTCCTAGTTTTTTAATATTTAAAAACTTTCTCCAATGCAGCATTACATGGGCTCATAAGATTTTGCAAAAACTGAGGATAAGGCAGTGATTTGGGCAATTTTCATCTAGGTGAGAGAATGTCGCCAAATTGGCGATTTTTAAAAAAGTTTAATTACTTTTAAAATATTTAATTTATTTCTTAGCTCTAAAGTACAGATAATTCTTCACGGCAAGATTATTTATATCGTTTAAAATCATCGTATTGTGTAGGAACTTAAACCGTGATTTTTTCTATTTTCCTTAGAGACAGAGCTTCGAAAACAGCTTTAAAAATTAGCACAGTTCCAGATCCACTATAGGTTATAGGTGAGAGCCAAATGATAATAAAAGAAGACAGATTTATGTTCTTTTTCCTTTAATATTTAGGACAGATATTCCTATTTTTTTCTGCTATGGAACCTTAAATGATCAACCATCTTTTAACGGAATCAATGGGACTTAATGAATAACTTTCATTATCAGTTGTGTATATATATAAATCAACGAAAAGTTATTAATCATTTTGAAAATATTCAATGATTGAAATTTTATAAATTACTTTGAAGTCATTTAGTGAATGAGTGAGGAATAAAATTTTTCTATCATATCGTTTTATCAACAGTCTTGATGGATTCACTGGTCTGGAACGCAATCTTGTTTAGTTTTTAATTTGATTTTCTTGACTAGATCTTAATTTGATTAAAAATGAAAATGAATGAGCTAAAGTAGTTTCCGTTGAAATAAAAACGAAAATAAACATCGAGAATAGGTTATCAGACAAACCTACTTTAAGTTAAAGTGAATACTAATGCAATTATTCATAAATGCATATTCTTTTCATTGTATTTCAATATTTGTTATTAGAAAAAATTGGTTTTATTTTGGCGTTTCTTTGCAAGCATTTCAAAAACATAATTTAACTAAAATATTCACTAAATAATAGATAATTAATTCGATATAAAATTTCATTACATATTTGGAAAATTATATTAGGTAAAAAAAAAAATCTTTCGGAACTCCAGTGATACTTCCACGGAACTTTAGAGTTCAGCGGAACACCATTTGGGAACAGCTGATTTAGAAGATTGAGTGCCTGGTTCTTGTATTAATCGAAAGATACTTGAAAAATAAACTGAAATATTTTTGGAAAGTTAGAACTTACTCGTTTCTCACACCAATTTCCATACTTAAAAACTATCTAATAATAATGATGTTCTACTTTCAGTTGACACTTGGTTACAATTTCAAAATGTCACTTGAAACCTTCTATACACTAGAACTCTTCAGTTATTCAATTTAAATTATTTTTACTTCGTAGGAAGCGTTTTACTGTAGCCTTTTGAGTTTTTTTTACAAATTGTAACATCTCTTCAAAAAAAAAGAAATTTAACATTGTTGTAATACTTGCATTTTTAAGTTTTCTTCATATTTTTAAATGGGAAAAAATAGGGGATTAATCTTTAGTAATAATACTTTAAACGGCGACTTACTAAGGAAAAATTGTCTTTAGATGTATAAATTTCTCTTTTTACTTATTTTGAAATACACAAGATGCGATAAAAGATAATGGTAATAGTGGTTAAAATTTAGAAATATTCTTCGTGTTACTTTTATTTTTTTCAAAAAAATTTATTAACACATTTTAATCAATTCAATTATGCTAAAATTCAACTCTGAAATATATTGGGAACTATTTTAAATTTGAAGTTGATTATTTCGATATCAATAAAATTTATTTCGTTACAAATCAGTTCTTAAGAAAATGTTCTTCAATTCTCGAAATTTTTCAAAAATTCTCTCATTTTTTTAAATTTTTGAAGTAAAAGCTACCTAAGATAATTTGAGAAATTAGATTCGCGTTTTTGCTTTGAATTATCTAAAATTTCAGTGCAATATAGCTATAAATAAGAAAGTATTAACGAATAAACAAAATGAATAAAAATCAGTATTATTCGAGATTTGAATGCAATTTGTGTAAAGTTTACACAACTTTATTCTTTTATCTTAACGTTGAGGAGTTCAAATATAGTGAATCTCACATTTTCCAAAAAAATACTTTTGCTTTAAGTAATTCTCATGAATTGATGATACTTGTGCTTTTTTAGTTCATCACGCTGGCATGGGTACTACTGAACGCATGTGCTTACAGAGACCCCCAAAGGACGAATTTCAAAGATGTGCACCAACACTTTTCATGGGGAAACGTGTGCTGTTGTGCTTTTGTAGAGGGGATCTTTGTAACAAATCATTCATTTGTAAAAGTCATTTCATCACTCAACTTTTCTCTGTTATCTTATCTATCACATTTTACAAGAAATGGTCTTGACAATACAAATAAAAATGTTCTAAAACTGTTGGCTTTTATAAAAATTTTCTCCTTCTTTGATACAAATTTTTACACAATTAAAAAATGATTAATTTGAGTATTTTTCTGACAAATTGAAATTGAGATCTGCTTGAATTTTGGGACATTTAAATTGAAAAACCTGTAGTTTAACTGAAGTTGTTTAACTAACAATTTTAACATTTTCCTCGCTTAAGTATTTCACTGCAGGAATCATCTAAATCTTAGAGCACAACTTTTCAAGGAACTAACACTCAACTAGATATCTTCCTTTCTTATTATTTTTTATATTTATCATAATGTAAAAATACATCTTCATTCCATAATATGTCATGAAAAGTCATAGAATTTATCAAGGTTAGTGCAGGAGGTGATAATTTGAAAAGTGAAAATATTGTTCCTATCTAGTGCTAAAAGTCCTCGAAAAACTATGAAGTGGCAATGAAATTTCTAAACTGATATTTAGTTTTTTTTAAAAATTAATCATAGCGATTATAAAAATTCCTCTTTTAGACTCGTTAGAAGCTCTTTCAGAAGTTTAGATATCAGTTGCAAAAGGTAAAACAGGAGAGTAATGACATATGATCTTGACCGAATATTGACGCACGACCATGCAATCAACAGTGTGACGATATCAAACTCCAAAATTTTTTTCCTTCTGAATAAAATTTTTTTTTCTCCTAGGAGTTCGGAATTTGTTCCTTAAAGTTCACAGTTCGTCACAATCTTGGAAATTTTGTCACAATAGTTTTAGAAAAACAACCAGGAATCGGACTCTTTTAATGTCAATTTTACTTTATACGTATTTCACTATGTCTCTGGAATTATTATTAATTAAGGAAATTAAAACATTTTTGCTTATAGTATTAGTTTATTACAAAAAATAATTCCATGCAAAATATAACTATTTTTTATTACTGAATTTAATAATAGTCAGCTTTTGAATTGTAAGACATACAGTTTTGTCCTTGTTTCAAACTATGTGACTTTCAATAGCAAAATTCAAACTTTAAATGGAATCGACTGTCATGAAAATTTAACTTATTCAGATATGAAAATTTAGAAATACTTTTTTTTTACAAATTTTATTTAGCTGATTTAGTTCATATTTTGTAGTTTCATTTTTAAATTTGCATTGTTAGAAGAATTGTATACTTTAAAATTAAATATAACTTCTATTACTTTTAAATTAAGTAATAAAAGTAATCTAAAAAAAGTCATATTTTGAAATAATCCTTGGATAAAAGAGTTTTACTGTTGTAGGGCTTGAAGAACAAACAAGATGAGCTCTTCCAAATTCACAACTAATCAAATGAATCCAAAATAATGAGAGTCAAATAAAATTTAAAAAGTCAGTAGGTTTACATAGTTCTCTCACTCACTATTTATCGCGCAGGACAGGACTGATTTTATATTTCTGCCCAGTAACTAGAGCAGCTACCAGGTGCCCCAAAAATGACTGATATATTTTGAAAGTCAATAAAAACTTAACGGAACACCATAAATATCCCACCAAATTGAGCATTTAATAAACTTTCCGCCAATAGATGGCGGTGCAGGTATGCGAAAGTTGCTGAGAAATTGAATCCGCGACATCTTCAGTCGGTATTTTTGTACGTAATCAATTTATGAGTGCTTGGGAATTAGTTTGAGATGGTTTACATGTTAGAATAATGGATATTCGTTGTTTGATGTTTTGCAGTGATCCCTGCACCATTTTCATACCGGTTGTAGTTATTCCTATTCTGCATCGCCACCTATTGGCGGCTAATTTAACCAAATGTACAATTTAGTGGGCAGAATAACTAGTTTCCCAAGCATAATGCCAAAAACCATACATTTTATACATTTTTATCGAGTTCCGTTTTTTTTTCTTTTTTTAAATTGATTTTCAAAATCCATCAGTCATTGTAAGAACATTCGATATGTGATACACAGTCAAATATGCAATAAAATGAAAGAAAAAAATTACTGTTTTCCTCGATTATTTGTATTGTCATTTGGACGCATTGGGCCTGTTAAAGAAAGCAAAATTTTTGTGTCTCTCCAAAGAAGTTTCAGAGATATACGAAGAAAACGTGGTATGTTAACACAGAGAAAGTACGTTTTTGTATCGAATTTTGTGAATGCTCCCTGTAAAAAATATTTTTCATGCTTGAAGTTAACTTTTTGAAACTATTAACATTACATCTCATTCGTTAGAACATAAGAAGTTACTAAGCCGTAATTTTTATTTTATTTTTATTTAACGCCTTTTATATTATATATTCAATTCAATATAAAATGACACATTCTAGTAATTATCAACAAAATAAACTTATTTCCTAAATATTTGAAAAGATAATAAGATTATGGACGAACAAAGAAATTTTTTTAATATGCTGCAATAAATCAGAGTTTTTGGAATGGTGCATTTATTATATCAATTGATATAGTAAATGCATAGTAAAAGGAAGTGTTTAAAAATTTAACTTAAAATATTTTACCTTTTAAATCATGTTTAGAATTTCTTAAAAAATTTTAAAAATATATCACGTTATAAATTTAGTAAAAAAAAAAAAAAAAACGAATAACATTTTATTAACAATCATTCATTTTTCAAACATTTCATTTTTCAAAACTCCTTCGCTATCTCCTTTTGAGTACGATCGCTACCTTCTCTCAATACGATCCTGATTCGCTATCTACAATTAACTTCATTATAAATGAAATTTTACTATAGCTAATAAACAGTTCATAATAGCAATAAATGAAATTTTATAATAGTTAAAAATAAATCTATATTTAAAGCAAAATTTATGAGAAGTTCTACTTAAAGTTACATTGTGAAAAAATGAAGGTGAAATCTGTTTATAGATTTTTTTTTACTTCAATTTTTCTGCATTCTATTTTTAATATTAAAAATTACCGAAAAGACTTTTTCAAAGTACAAAAATAACTTAATAAGGAATAATTTAAAATGATATTAGAATAATATTTCTGATTGAATTGTGTAGATGGAGCTACAATACCACAAAAATTAGTTTTCTTTTCGAAAATTGATTGTGATTCAATTTAAATTTTAATTAGAGCATTTATTAATTACCATATTATAAATATATAGTAAACATTTTATAATTCTTAAAAAAATTAAATTTTTACTTTATTACATGTTCTGGCCTATTCTATGAATTTTATGAATTAGGATTTTTTTTTTTTTTTTTCCCTTAATTGTAAGTAAAGATTTCAGTATTTTCTTGAAGAGTAGTGCTGCCATCTGTACTGAAAGTTTGAAGAAGAGAAAGAAGTAATATAAATTTTACGTATTTGTTTATTTAATTATTTATTTTTTAAACATTAATGTACATTTTTTTCTCAAATTTCTAGGAAACAAACAACACAAACAAAAATAAAAAAATTGCTGATCAGAAGTATGGGCCATGAATAATTATTATATTGGAAAATTATAAGCCTTAATTATTTATATATTGTAATTGAAATTAGAAGTTACATATGGCATACGACATAATGATGCGACATAAATTTTAAAGAGAATATGTATGTGACTAAGATTTTTTTAAAAATTTCAATAGTTTTCTATTAAATATTAAAACCAGACTTGTAAGTGATACCATTTCCTTTTTTTTCTTCTTTTTTTAAATGAATAAATAAGCTAGTTAGAACAACATGCTTGTATTGTCAGCCGTTTTTTAATAACTGAAAAAAGATATCTGAAATATCTGAAAAAGATATCTTTTAAATATCTGAAAAAGCTATAAGGTTATTTTGTTTTACATGACTTAGTTTTTTTTTAAAAAAACATATGGTTTTTATATATCATGCGATCTTAAAATTCGCTGAGAAAAACATGCTTTTTCCCGAACGATATCGAGGTGACCAATAATTTAACTAGAATCATTAAGAATTTTTTTCAAAATCATAAAAGTAAATAACGTTTGAAAAATCCTGTGAGCTATATATAATTCATTTAACTCATAATTATTAAAATATAATTAAATTTTGAAATACACTCATTGCAAATAGGTATGAATTATTTTTTTTAAGGATTAATGAAGCAAAAACTTAACAAAGAAGTTCACTTCAGCTATGTTATTTTTATTCTACATGTAGACATAAACTATTAGTTGGCTTTAATTCTATACCTTAAGGCATTTAAATTATTGAAATACTTTTTACTTATTAATACCCCTCTGAATAATGTAATTGATATAAAGTTGCATTAATCAAATAAAAAAGCTTCTCTTTTTCCAATTTATTAAAACATTTTATAAAAACTAGTTCAAAAATTGAGATAGTAAATTAATTTAACTCACTTTAAAAAAATTGTTTTTATAACTTGTGACGTAAAAAAAGAATTACAAATACATCTACAGAAACTACTGATAGTAGATTTGTGACAAACAGCAAAGGAAGCAGTTAATTTTTAAATAAATTATTTAATAGTTATTTGACTTTTCTTTAACTTATCTGAAATCTTAGAATTTGGCAATATAACTTTCCTATTTTAACTCTTAGTTATTGTGACAGTTCAACAATTAGTTACTAGATGGCACCACCATGACTTTGATTTACGTCCAAAGTTACCTTTAGACTTCTCTCGTTTGCTTTTCAATATATTATTCTCAGTTAACAGCATCGACCTTGAGCTACTTTCAAATATGTGTGCATAGATGGCGCTGACTACTACTCACGACTTGAGTGAAATCCCTTTCGTCTGCTGTAAACATATGATCGCCATATTCTTGTATTCGTCCGTGGGAGTGTCGGAGTTGTTAGAAAGTATTAAAAGTTCTTGAACAGAAATGTTTTGATAGTGCGCTCTTTCTGTAGCTAATTTATTTTTGGCTCGTAGGAGCTGATTTAGAAGCATATCTGTATGCATTTAGCTTTCTACTCTTGGCTATTGCTTTCATATAATTGTTTCTGCTCCGATATGGGAGATAATAGAAACACCGGCAATTGTAACGACAGCCAGCCGTACGTAGTAGGCATCCTCTCGCCGTCGACTACCCTGTATATCGACCAAATGCCTTCGGATAACGGAAATTTGCCAGCACCGCCGACCGATTTAAATCTGTCTCGAAGAAATACGAATTCTTTTCAAATAACAAGTGTAACTGTTCAGGGTTCACGCAAGAACGAAGATTTTGCTTATGACAGCGCTGACGACTTGGATGAAAGTCACACTGATGACCTGAGTTCTGATTTTTTGGATTCATCGCGTGCTGATAATGAAGGATACCACTCGGAAGATTTCGTAGATGACTTGCAGTCACCTTGTGGACCCATCATATTCGCCCAGTTGCCTACTAATATCATGGATCGGAATATGAATCTGAGTCTTGGTGTCACTCCGACTTACACCGCTATCGGTCCGGTCGCAGGTGGGGTGACCATGATGACCAGTAAGTCCGAAAGTCCAATCAGCGCTCAAGTGCCAATCATGAACCCTTTGCCGAACAACTGGCAAAGAAGATTCAAAGTCGTGAAAATTATGAGCAGCGAGCCTTTCAAACGAGGAAGGTGGATCTGCATGGATTTTAAGGATCCGCCGACTGATGAGCCCTCTAAACCTGAGAACCAGAATGGGACAGTTACTCCCCCGACCATACAGATCACCAATTGTGATCCGGAGGGTGTTCATGCCGATAATTATGCTCAAGTGTACGAAATTCCCATCAATCAAACTTTCAGTGGTAATTTTGTAATGGGCACCCAGCACATGTATGGAATAATTCTTCCCCAGGCAGATCACCTGCAGCCTGTCACTCTGATCCAAGATATGAGCTTACAGACCACCGGGGTGGATCAGAACTTTAACAATAACTTGGTGAACAACCAGAGCATATTTGTACAGTCTGTACCTGCTGATGCTTATGCCAATGCCATGCCTTATCCTCAACCCGTAGCGATGGTTGTCAATAACGGGATTCCCAATCAATCTCCACCACAGACTGCTGTTTATGATAATGCACCTGAAGCCGTCCTAAACCAAAGTAATGTGCTTGTAAATAATATTGTTGGTGATGCTGCTGCTGGTTTGACCGCATCTCGGGTCAGGACTAACTCTGAATCTAAAAGGATTGAACTTGCTAATCACGTGCTTGGTGGTGCTATTAAACCAAGCATGCCTACGGAGGAAACTGAAAGGTCAGATTTTTATTATTGTTATTTTTTATTTTAAATTTTTTGCTTGAGAATATATTTTTAGAAAAAGTACGTATGTGTAATGTGTGTGTTAAATATAAATAATCTCTTGATAATCAGCGTTCAATATATTGGACAGTATTTGATATAATTTCATCAGTGAAGAGGTAGCAATTTTTGATTTTTTTTTTATATGTTTAGAAAATAATAAATAGGTAAAAAATTTGAGCCTTGTTTGTTTTCAATTAATTTTTTGATTAAATTAGTTAATATATTAGTTAATAAATTAGTGATTAAATTAGTTAATAATTTGATTAAATTAATTTTTTGATAAATTTTTGATTTTAATTTTTTGAACCGAAATAACAATATAAAAATATGCCGCATGTGAAAAATACTAAAAAAATTAATTTTATCATTTTATGTGCAACAATGGAAAATAATTTAAAAAACATTTAACTAATTTAGAAAATATTTCATCACATTAATGAGTTTACTGTCTTCTAAGATACATATTGCTAAATAAAAAATTACATTTTTTTTCATTATTTAAAGATCTGGTATTATAAATAGATTCGTAAAGTATAAAATATAGAAGGGTAATAAAAATATCTTGCACTGCATGCGATTTTCAACCAATACTTGTAACTCTGGTAGTACGTGAAAACCTTCTAGATCTTATTTTGATTCTTATTTGAAGTTTTAAATAAGATCTAGTTTAAAACATTGCAAGCTTATACATTCATATTAGTCATCGCAATGATATTTTGTGCATTCATTTTTAATTTCTATACGATGTTGGAAAGTTGTGAACCTTTGATAGTTTCGTTAATAATACGAAATTTTATATTACCAATTAATTAATTTCATAATATTTCATAGAATTCTAGAATGAGATTTTTTTTCTCTGAAATATCTCAATAACTGAATTCTTAAATTAAATAAATACTAGAATAAAATGTTTCGAATTTCTTCGAATTTTTTAAATTATTAATTGAGCTATACCGTTACGTGATGCTTAAAATATTTCATCATAATTAAAATGATAACTTATTATTGTGTGAAAAATTCGCATGATGATTACTTATTATTACATAAAAATAATATAAATCTACCAAACCTTACTATTCCATTATTTTCTTTCTTATTTAGATCCTCTTAATCTTTTTTTTAGGATAAAAAAAAACTAGATATAATTATATTTTTAAAAGAGAACTAGCTTGAATAGAAGATTTGTAATTTTAAATGAGAACTAGTTTGAAGCATTGCAGGCTTATTATATCCATAAGTGGTCATAGTAATGATATTTTGTGCATTCATTTTTAATTTCTTTAGGAAGCTTGAAAGTTTTGAACCTTTAAAATTTCGTTTATTATACAAAATTTTATATTTCGATTTTAATAATTTCATAGGATTCTAGAATAAGATTTTTTAACTTTTGATCTAGAATAAAGTTTTAAACCTTTGAAATTTCGTTTATTATACAAAATTTTATATTTCAATTTTAATAATTTCATATTTCATAGGATTCTAAAAAAAGATTTTTTAACCTTTGATCTAGAATAAAGTTTTGAACCTTTGAAAATTCATTTATTATGCAAAATTTTATATTTCGATTTTAATAATTTCATGTTTCATAGGATTCTGAAAGAAGATATTTTTTTTCTTCTAAAAATTAGCGTGACTTGATTCTCAAATTAAATAAATACCAAAATAAAATAGTTCGAAATTCCTTGAATTTTTTAAAATTATTGAGTCAAACTGCTCGTGATGCTTAAAATTATTACTTATTATTATGGGAAAAATTAAATTACTTCTATCAAACCTTAATCTTCCATTCTTTTCTCTCTTTTTTTAAATTCTCTTTATTGATTATTTTAAAATGAAAATACCACACACAACAATCAAATTTATACAATATACTTTAATTGTTTTAAAAGATATATTAAATAGATGTTTTAAACGGAATATTAACTAAATGTGAACCATCAACTCTCTCTTATCTTATGGAAGTAGGAAACTTTTTGAAAATGCTTCTTTTGTAAATGATGTGGAAGAAAATGAAATTCGGTTTGTTCTGCTGGGAAACATACTCGCAGGTTCGAAGATCAATCAACCTCTCCTCTTAGATAAGCAATTTCTCTCTCTCTCTTTTTTTTTTTTAATTTTTTAATTTTTTATTTCTTAAAGATGACGTGTAGATTGTAGATATGAAGTCTGATAAATATTTTAATTATCTTTTTTATTATTTTTAATACACTTTATTATTATTTTCAAGTTAAATAAATTTACAAAAATCCCTTTGATTCAGTTCTGAAATATATATAATATATTTCAGACGGAATCGCTTTTTTTTCGCTCACATTAAGGCGGCATCGTTTGTAAGCATAGGCAGTAACTGTGATGGCAGGCAATGATTTCGCAATACTTTACTGAATTTGAAATGGATTTTCGTAAGTCTTTTTAGCACCAAAAAAAAAAAAAAAAAAGCTTTTTTTTTTTCCCACTTTAATCCGAATATAACTTTATTTACTGAAATTCACTTCTAATCAGAAATTTTATTTACTGCGAGTTAATTACAAATAATAAATACACTGTGATAATTAAATTGAAAATTATATTATTAATGACAACGGAATAAATATAATTAATACATTTATTATAATATGCAAAATTAAATGTATAAAAATATGTAAAATTTTTTGCGGAAAGAAAAATCAAAATTGTCTTTTTCATATCCAATTTTATGCTTTTTGCTACTTCGTTAAAAAAAAACTACTAAATTATTTTGGATTCTTATAATCTTATGAATAAATTTATAAATACAGTGATTAATAATGAATAAAAATTTAAATTGATAAAAAGTAGTTTTTTTTTTTTTTTTTAAAAACTCGAAATAAGATTGATTATATCTTAGTTTTTCTAATGTAGTTGTATTTGTATTTCAAGAATTAGGAATTTAGAATTAGGAATTTTATCAGAATTCATTCATTTTTGCTTCAGAATTGTTTTAGTTTTTTTTAAAAAGGTTTCCTTTGAAAATGAAACATTCTAGATGGGTGGATAACGAAAATGGGTAATTAATTTTGTTCAATTTGTCATTCAACCGTAACGACCTTCGAAATTTTGAAACGGAGTCTGTTTTAAGCCATTTTTTTTTGTACGAAGATATGCATTTCTAAGCGTTTTTTTCTCGTTTTAAAATATAGTATAAAATTTTATTCACTAAAATTCACTTCTAACCGGAAATTGATTTTATTTTCAGCCTTATTTACACTGCAAAGATTAAATTAGAAATTATGTTATTAATTAAAACGAATTAAACATAACTGATGTATTTTTTATAGTAATAACATTTAAAAAATTATAAAAAAGTTTTTTGGTGAACGAATAAAGAAAAATTTTAAAATGTCATTCTCACGTCCAACTTAACGCTTTTTTGTTCTTCTTTAAATAAACTTACAGCCATAGTTTATGATGTACTCTAATATTTTGGACTCTTTTAACTTTTATGAGTAAATTTATAAATACATTTATTAATTACGAATGAAAATTTAAGTTAATAAAAAAATTTTTTTTGGTTATTTTTAAAGACTCCGAGATGAGACCGGTAATCATGTTTGGTTTCATTGATGCTCATAGATTTGGACATAGTTAATCTAAACGGGCATTAATTCATTCATTTTTGCTTCAGAAATTAAAAAAAAAAAAGAAAATGTTTCCTTTGAAAATGGAACATTATAGATTTATGGCTGGATAACGATAATAGGTAATTAATTTTTACAGTTTGCCATTCAACTATAACGACCTTCTCCGAACTTCAAAAGTTAAAAGTAGTGATTTGGTGAGTCATACATCATTATACAATTTAACTACATACAGAATTAATTAATGTGGCAGTGCTTTAATATTTTTTTTTTCGTGCGCTTTTCTTATGATTTCAAATTTCTCAATGGGCAAAATAAAAAAAAGTTTCACCTTTTATAACTTTTGATTTAATAGAGAGATTTATCACTTTCACATAACATCCGGCACAACTACGTACGCGTGTTCTGCGCATGCTCTGTAGAGATTCTAAATTTTTCTGTAGTAACTGCACCGAACAGAACATACTTACGGAAAAGTGCTATATCTCATTTCATTAGCGATTTTTTGCTTAATAATAATTATAAATGATAAATTGCCATCGAAATTATGCAAGTTAACAAATGTAAGTTTCCAATTTCAGTTTAATCTCCTGATCCTCTGCGGCTCGTCTTTTACAGATTAAGAATGAGATAAAAATTTTAAAACATGTATGTATAGTACAGTGATTCTCAAACTTTTTTTTATTGCAGCACACTTTTAACGATTTCGAAATTTGACGGCACACAATGAAAAAAATTAGATTAAAAGTTGTTAATTACCTATTATACTCTGCGCTAAATAGTTTGTGATAGTAATTTTGAATGTAAAATAAAATAATATGTACTAAAAAAGCACGTTTATTAAGGGATTAATTTTTTCTTTCAACTAATTTTTTATTAGTTCGTAACAGTTATTTATTATTATTTTTTTTGCTAGTTTTTAATTGTTAGCTTGTTTTCTATAGCTTTTAACTGTTAGTTTTTTTACATTAACTGTTATTTTTTGTGATTTCTTGTTAACTAGTTTTATTGCTAATTATTAATTGTCAGCTTATTTATTTGTTAGTAATCCTTCGTTAATTTGTTTTTTATATATTTGCTTTTTTAGTTATCCTTTGTTAATTTGTTTATTAATTACTTAGCTTACTTTAATGATTAGCTTTTATTTCCGTTTGAAAGTTAATATTTAGCTTGCTTTCCTTTGTTAATTACTGATTTTAATAGTCATTAAATTTCTTACTTATTTCAAAATTTTTTAAAATTGTGTGTCAAAGAAAATTTAAACACTTCCATCTTATTTTAACTTATTTTAATATTGTCAGAGACAAGACAATCGCCGACAAAGACGTTCACGCTGTTAAAGCGTGGAAAAACTAT